TAAGGCTTTTTATATGACATTCCTCGAGTGGTCTCGGGTAACCGAGACCATACAAAATGGGGTCTTACTCAAGGATGCTCTTTGGCTTATAAACATTTCCAGTTATACTTACCATGGCATATCCCATTGTTTTTTTTCATGTAGGTTGCCACGTTACACTCCGGTTGATTGCAATCTTCGGTAGCTTTATGAATCATATCAGTGAAAAGCAGGAATGAAGTTAATACAAGCTTTCTTGAGCACTGAATTTTGCCTTGAACGCATCTGCACTCAATACATTTACCAACAGACCACGTGGCTCCCTCAAAGTATTGATTCGAGTCCTCGTCTTGACAAGTCTTCTCTGGCGAGTAAAGGAACATGTAAATTGAGAGTTGAGCTGAAAACTCTACGAGTTGAGCAATGTAATTTTGGGAAGTCTACTTTAATTCTAGTAACCTAACAGAATATTTTGGTGGAATTTCAATCGCGTTCACTTTATTCTATCGTACTACCCGAGACTAGAACCTTTTCGAATTCGCAGAATATACATTTTTGCCCTGTGCTAGGTGTGTACCAACACTGTAAAAACTGACTAGCTGAAACAACCAATTAAAATTGTTGCCAAATGCATCTGACAGAACCAATTGTTTTTTTGGTTGGTGTCACTATTTTTAAATGGTTTGAATTAACTGGTTTCTTTTGGTTTGGAACGACCAATTATTATAGCGGAGCTCCGACGGCCCGAAGGGCCACCAAGCGGAGCCCCAAACTCATATAGGAAAGAAAAGGAAACCCATGAGTTGATTTTCTCATGGTTATCATGGCTAGCGGTATTGCTCGTGGGCGCGTACGCACGACGACGACGNCCCATTGTTTTTTTTCATGTAGGTTGCCACGTTACACTCCGGTTGATTGCAATCTTCGGTAGCTTTTTGAATCGTATCAGTGAAAAGCGGGAATGAAGTTAATACAAGCTTTCTTGAGCACTGAATTTTGCATTGAACGCATCTGCACTCAATACATTTACCAACAGACCACGTGGCTCCCTCAAAGTATTGATTCGAGTCCTCGTCTTGACAAGTTTTCTCTGGCGAGTAAAGGAACGTGTGAATTGAAAATTACGAGTTAAGCTGAAAACTCTACGAGTTGAGCAATGTAATTTTGGGACGTCTACTTTAATTCTACTAACCTAACAGAATATTTTGGTGGAATTTCAATCGCGTTCACTTTATTTCATCGTACTACCCAAAACTAAACCTTTTCGAACTCGTGAATATACATTTGGCTGTGTTGGCTGTGCACCAAAAATGGCTGAAACCAAAAATTAAACTTATACACAAAGAAATAATCAAATTAGAACAAATCAAAACAAAAGCCACAACAGAAAACGATAAACAAAATTTATTCCATTCCGTTCACCATGGAGACAAATGTCAATGCCAGTTTTATATAAAGATTGCTGTAGCAGCTTTACTTTCTGTTAATCATCAGTTCTACAAAACAAGTTACCTGATGAACAATTATGGATATACAAGTCCCGCAAGCAATGGCTTAAATTATTGCAGTGCTGGGCTACTGATACGAACTGACGGCCATTGGGACAGACTATAATGTTTCCTCGTAGTTGATTTGCGATCTGCCTTAAGCCTAAATAAATAATTGAATAAAAAAATGGAGCACTATCAATTACATTACATGCATACATATTTGTATTTTTTGTTCAGTTCCAGTATAAAACTGGAAATATTACTAGAAGAAGGTGTGTGTGGTCTTACGTCAATAAAGTTGACTATTTACTGTACATGGCAGAAATTGTATACTCAGTGTAAGGTAACTTTGTTCCAAGCTAGGAACAACAGATACGGGCAGGGGAATATTTCTCAGGACATAGTGATATAGATGACAAGCAGAAGCTGTCCCCTAGAGGATACTAGGCACCTTAAGCAACAGACGTCGCCCCGGCCTGACGACGGCAACCGGAAACGTGACATTTCTTTCGAGACGTCACTGCGTATGTACAACACGTTGTGACCTGACGCTGCCGTGAGGTCGAGAACGTGAGAACGTGGAGTTTCACGTCGCGACGAAAACGTGAGTACTTAATCTTTTATTTTGATCCCTTTTAGCTTACTTTTGTGCTATTTTGGTGCCGAACCAAGGTAAAGTTGCATAATGA